GTGTTTCACTAAGAGTGGCAATTTGAAGTGTTCTACATAAGTCTTATGTTCACAATGAAGAAAAACATAACCAAATTTGTAGGGCCTTATAATTGTAACGTGTAAAATAAATCACCACAATATTATACTATTCAAAAACTAGGTGTTTACATCATTGAAACAGTACTTTTTATTGTCTTCATTAGGTGAGAATGCGTTTCTAGTTCCACTTTTTAGCTTTCAATTTAATGTACCATATAATTAGTTCACATAAAAAAGTTTGTCTATATTCCAAAGAGTAAGTAATTAAGAGAAATGATAAAGTATATAACAAGAGAGTTGTCAAAAGTTATTAAATCACTACTAAAAGTACATATTTTATACAACTATATATGATGTGAAGTCGATCGATACAAAATTTAAGTGCATGTTAGGTTTCTTAATGCTAGCCTAAAGCCTAGAGCACTTAATATATGTGGTCTGGTCATTTATGCATGTAAGGTATTGACCACTTTAACCGATATTCAAAACAAATTTTAGTAAGGTTATAATAATCAGTAGTGGAGGTAGAATTTTCATCAAGGAAAATCAAAAAATAATATGGGATAAGAATATATACGTGTATCTTTACAACAAAATGATAATTTTACATTCAGTCTCACTAAAGTTTTTAATAACATTTATATGAAGTGCTAATTATCAATATTTATATTTATTAATATGCTTTTTTTATTCTTTAAAGATAAACTAGTTCTAGATTATATCGTTATGAATTGACAGAAGTTGTCAATGTTGCTTATAAAATATGGTTCATATTGTGAGCCAAAAAATTTGTAGGAAAGAGGTGATCGATTGCATTAAACTCCTTTCAAATTAATGCTACTGGGGTCATTATAACTACTAATTTCCCCTCCAACTTGCATTTTTTGCAATTCTTGAATTGACATTTCTTTCACTATAAAAGCAATTTTTTTTTCTTTTAATTGAATATTGATAACATGGTCCTGGACTCCTATAGTCATTTCACACGAATTAATTAGAACCGTGTGATATGATATCTCACATCTACTCGAACCATACATGAGTGTTTATACAAAAAGACAAAACAATATATAAATGTATGTATACACGCATAAATATTAATTTTGAACCTAACAAAAAGAGGCATATTATAACGTGTAAAGATATGACATTTAAATCTAAGTTAGCTCAAGAGGAGAGGATTATTCAAGACCATATAATAAGACCATCAGTTCATTTCCTAATCAATGTGAGATTCTAATCCATTCCAACACCCCTTCACGCTTAGTACCAACTGGAGCATGGACCGGAAGTTCAAATTGGGCTATACCTAGCTCTAATACCATGTAAAAATATGAAATCAGAGTCTAACTCAATCCGAAATCAAGCTCAAGAGGGATTGATTGTCCAAGTCAATATAAGAAGACAACTAATCCATTCTCCAACAAATGTAGGACTCTAACCCTCTCTAACCGCAAAGTCATGATTTTCACTAGTTAAAGAGAATTAATATATAAAGAACCAATCCATACTCATTATAACATCAAAATTTAACATTTCTAGCTCAACAAGGTCAGTCAATGTATTGCGATTACAAAGTAAATATATGAAGAAGATTCAATATATGGTATACATGGCCGGGTCATAGCTTGTCCTTTTAACTACTGGTTCAGCAAAATTCAATTATTTTAGCTCAAACCTTATATTTATTTTAAGAAATCCATTCGATGGATATAAATATTATATTCAGAACTCAGTTAATAAAAATAATTCTGACTCTGCTTCTGATAATATAAGCACATATTTAAATTATTCATTACCTATCTTACACGGTATAATTTTAGGACAAGGAGATGGCAAATTAACAAACCTTGGACAAGGATGGCTCTACTACTTAGAGGCATAGACAGTTAGACAGTGGGTTAGAGCTTATAAGAATAATTAACCAAATTTAGTAATTAGTAAATGCTATTTAATGTGATGGTGATAGAGTGCCCAACAATATTCATGACTCATGAGGCTTCAAACATGGCATGAGTGGCGGCTTCAACACAAATTAAACTTTAAACCTCCATAATGGACCTTTTCTTCTATTTTTTTCATGTCAAAGAGACATCAACTTGCAACTAATCAAACAAGACTATTACTATATCTCGAAACTTTTGATACAATTTGTTACTTCCTTTGAAATGTTTTTCTAGAGTGCCCCTAATTCATATACTTCTCATGTCCCAATTTATGTGATATTTTTGAATTTCGAAAGTCAGACAAATTTTTTTACCTAGTATAATTTTTCTTATGCCTTTTAAATATTTTGAACGGTCAACAATTGTAATGTATAGTAACGTGTTAAATGACAAAGGAGGTTATTAATTCTTTGAAGAGGATATACATCAATCTTCAAAGTACTATACTATGTTTTACCAATCAATGTATGAAATGTAAAAATGCATATTATCGAAGTTGTTGCCAACAATGCAAGTACCGCTATAAAAAAAAATGGAGAACGTTTGCTCAAAATAATACTCCCTCTTCGTTTCAAATTATAGATCGTGGTTATCTTTTACATGTTTTAAAAAACATTAATTAGAAAGAGTACTTTTAAACTATTTTATTGTTTATTGGTATTTGAACAATTATAATTTATAACATCACTCTATAATTAAAATAATATAATATGTGTATACATTTTGTCTTAAACTTTTAAAATTATAGTAAATAATTTGGATAACTATTTTAAAAAATTACGACATATAATTTGAGACAGAAGAGGTACACTCTACTGAAACCAGAATGATGTTGGTTTGTAGAAATTTCCTCTAAAACTAATGCTAATTAAATCGGCATTACACTAAAATGATCTTAAGCGATAATTAATTAACGAGAATAACATAATTACTGTTAAACATTTTTTTAGAGACAATTATTACTCTTTGTAAATGTCCCTAAAACCTATAACGACATTGAATCTAGTGATAATTAACTAGTGCTAGTAAAGACTTTTACATTTTTTGTTAATGTATATATTTATTACCGTTAAAAGCTATTTTTGTTACCGTGTGTATTTTGTTGAATGATTTAATCAAAAATATTAATAATATCAAGTGGAAAAATCCGAAGAACAACCATTTATGCCTCGACATTGTATCACAACGATTGAAGTAAAATAATAGTAGGGACAAAAATTTATGAGTAACATATTTTTTTCTTGTTTATATATTTAAAGATTGTGTTATTTTATATTTATAAGGGTGACTGATGAGAGATGACATCTAGTAAGTAGTTGATAAAACATACTGAATACTAATGTAATAAAAGATAAGATGTAGAAATAATATTTCAAGATTCATTACGTGTTTAAGATTTTTATTTTTCTTGATATTTGTTATTTCAACAAAAGAAGGTTGGGGTGGGGGCTTGCAATTTGACAGAGCTCAAATGCTGGTTGAAGCCTGAATTCTGAAGGTATAGTACATTAATATATTGTAGGAATGTTCATTCCAATTTATAAATAAATGGGCGATGTACTGTTATATTCTTTAAGAAGAGTTAGAATTCACGAAAGGATTTCAATACGATAAAGATAGAATGACTAGTTGAATGTCTAGTACAACAATATAACCCACGTGTTCATTCATCTCCAAATAAATAGGCGATGCACCATTGTTGCTGATTTTCTTGACTTGGACAGATGCATTAGGAAGGAATGAAAGGGTTCCGATTTGACAAATATAGAATGATTGGTTGAAGGTCTGATACAGTAAATAGTGTTCGTTCTAACTTTTGAAAAAATAGGCGATGCATTATCTTTGCTATTTTTCTTGACTTGACACATTCATTAGAAAGAGTAAGAATTCATTAAAGGATTTTAATATATAATAGACCTGTTCGTTCCAACTTATGAAATAAATAGGCAATGCACCATCTTTACAAATTTCCTCGACTTAACACATTCATTAAGAAAAGTTAGAATTCATTAAAGGATAGATAGAACAACTCGTTGAAGATCTAGTGTGAAATATAACAGACGTGTTTGTTTCGATTTTCAAATAAATATCCTTGACTTAGACACATTCATTAGGACGGATGGGAATTCATAAAAATGGACCAGCTACAAGTGGGAAATAAAGCCCAAATCAGGTCCATCTATTTTTTGGCCCAATATACCTAAAAACAGAAAAAAGGGATCCCAGAGAAAAGGAGTAATAAACGTCAGCAGTTGACGCCGGCGAGTCACCGGCCATTTGACTCGCCGGATTCCGTTAATAACAAATACAGTTGTCAAATATGAATACGACCCGCTTACACACAGGTCAAGTGGGTCAAAACAAAATCTTAGTAATAGAAAAAAAGAAATTAAAAAATTAAGGAGAAAGAATCTTTTTTTCCGTCAATATTTATGATTATTTTCCTTTAAATTAATCTAGTGATGAGCCCATTGACTAATAAACCCTTGTTTCCTGTATGAAACTTGTCACCTTGCTGTAATTAATTCATATAATCTTCATGTAAACTTCAGATCCCAATATAGTAAAAAGATAAAGAAGAAATTTTGTGAGTGTAAAAAAACAAAATCTTGGGATCTGAATGAACTGTCTTTACTCTGGCATTTCATTTTCTTCTTGTGTTAAATCTCTGTTTTTTTTTTACAGTAAAAAGTTCAACTGTGAAAATAAAAAAGCTACACATTTTTTTCACAGTCTTGACGGAAGATTTCAAGAAATAGAGAGAGAGAGAGGGGGGGGGGGGTAGGGGTGGAGGTGAAAGAGTCAACCAAACCTTTTTCTGTGCTGTTTTGGCTGTATGTATATGTAAGGCTTCGATGAGTCCATAATTTTGCGTATTATCTTAACCTTTTTGTTTTTTTTTTTTTTTGGTTTTTAGTATTTTTTTTCTACTGTTGTTACCCCTTTTTCTATCTCTCGTCTCTTCTATTGTCTTTGCAAAACTGATTAAACAAAGCCTTTTTAGCTTCTTTTCTCTCACTTCCTTTTCTGTGCTTTATTTTTTTTTTGTTTACAAAAGTCAAGCATGCAGAGATACATACATATAACAGAACAGAAAAATGCCCTCAAACTTAAGGTTTTGCTTGCTTAAACCATTCTTTTAAGCTTTTGTATTTGCAGCAAAAGATTAGTTTAAGAAAGGTCCCCCTTTTTTTTACTTTTTTGTTAGGAGGGAGAGAAGAGGAATTTTAATTAGTACTGTTATTTAAGGAAAGTATAGAGAAGAGAAAGGCAAGGAGTAGTAAAGAGTAGCACAAGTAAAGGTTTTTTTTTTGCTTTCTTTCCTTGTTATTTTTCTTTCAAGAGTAAAAATTAGAGAGGAAGTTGGAGACATTTGGATTCGTCCTTGTGTCTCCTCTACCTCTCATAATTTTTCTCCCAACTTTTACTCCACTTTCTGCTCTGATTATAGCTGATTTTTAGCACAAAAAAGATACAGTGAATCTGTCAAATATACAAAAAAGTTAAAGTGCTTTTTGAGTCTCTGTTGGTTTATTTCATGAATTTTGGGGGCTTTCTTGATAATAATTCTGGTGGTGGCGGTGCAAGAATTGCTGCTGATATACCATTTAATCACAACAGCAGCAGCAACAACGACAATAAAAACAACAATATGCCCACTGGTGCAATTTCTCAGCCAAGACTTCTTCCTCAATCTCTTGCCAAGAACATGTTCAACTCTCCAGGACTTTCTCTTGCTCTTGTAAGCCAAAAAAAAAAAAAAAACATAAAAATTGAAACTTTTTTTACTTTATATGACACCCTTTTGTTTATTTTTGCTTTTGGTTGCAGCAAACAGGTATGGAAGGGCAAAATGAGGTAACAAGAATGGCTGAAAACTATGAGGGAAATAACAGTGTTGGTAGAAGGAGTAGAGAGGAAGAACCAGACAGCAGATCTGGAAGTGATAACTTGGAAGGCGCATCGGGTGATGAACAAGATGCTGCCGACAAACCACCAAGGAAGAAAAGATACCACCGACACACTCCTCAGCAAATCCAAGAACTTGAATCGTAATCATTACCATCTTTTCAAATGAAAAAAAAAATCTTTTATTTTTCTTTCAACTTTTCTTATGAGATGTTTTTTTTTCTAGTCTTTTCAAGGAGTGTCCTCATCCTGATGAGAAACAAAGGTTGGAGTTAAGCAAAAGGCTTTCTTTGGAGACTAGACAAGTCAAGTTTTGGTTCCAAAATCGTAGAACTCAGATGAAGGTAATAGAAAAAAGATTTAATTTTTATGGCTTTTAAAGATTTATTTTTTGTGTGTGCTGCTTGAATAATGAATCTTGATTGCACCAGACTCAACTGGAACGCCATGAGAATTCGATACTAAGGCAAGAGAACGATAAGCTTCGTGCAGAAAACATGTCTATAAGAGAGGCAATGAGAAATCCAATTTGTACTAACTGTGGCGGTCCAGCAATGATTGGTGAAATCTCTCTTGAGGAGCAACATCTTAGGATTGAAAATGCTAGGCTGAAAGATGAATTAGATCGAGTTTGTGCACTTGCTGGCAAGTTTTTGGGACGACCCATTTCATCTTTAGTGACCTCTATGCCTCCCCCAATGCCTAATTCAAGTTTGGAACTTGGAGTTGGAAGTAATGGATTTGGTGGTATGAGTAATGTACCAACAACACTCCCCTTAGCACCTCCTGATTTTGGTGTTGGGATTTCAAATTCTTTACCAGTTGTGCCTTCAAATAGACAGTCAACTGGAATTGAGAGATCACTTGAAAGATCCATGTATCTTGAACTTGCTTTGGCTGCCATGGAGGAATTGGTAAAATTGGCACAACCTGATGAACCTCTTTGGTTCAGGAGCATTGAAGGTGGTAGAGAATTACTAAACCATGAAGAGTACATAAGGACATTTACTCCTTGTATTGGTATGAGACCAAACAGTTTTGTTTCAGAGGCTTCCAGGGAGACAGGCATGGTTATAATCAATAGTTTAGCTCTTGTTGAGACATTAATGGACTCTGTAAGTAATTTCTTGATTGCACTTTTAGGTGTCTAATCCTATAAATACTCTTTGTCAGTTATCATACATGAAGAAGTCATAAATCTTAATTTTTTCTGATGATTAGCTTTAATTTTGACAGAACAAATGGGCAGAAATGTTTCCTTGTTTGATTGCTAGAACCTCAACAACAGATGTTATATCAAGTGGTATGGGTGGAACCAGAAATGGTGCACTTCAGCTGGTAAATCAAAATGCACCTTCCTTTCTTTTTTTTTTAATTAAATTTAGTCAATGTTGAAGTATGAATTTTTTTCTTGATTCTTTATAGATGCATGCTGAACTCCAAGTGCTTTCACCATTAGTACCAATTCGAGAGGTCAATTTCCTGCGTTTCTGCAAACAACATGCTGAAGGTGTTTGGGCTGTCGTTGATGTGTCGATTGATACCATCCGTGAAACTTCTGGTGCACCAACATTTCCAAATTGCAGAAGGCTTCCTTCTGGCTGTGTTGTCCAAGATATGCCCAATGGCTACAGCAAAGTAAGTTCTCAATGAAATAAACTTGGTTCGCATTTCAATTATTATTTCTGGTATCTATATTCGGTAACTCTATACACGAAGACTTTTCTCTCTTCTACTAGTGTGTCGTTTAGTACTATATATTCAATGAGTTTACATTCATGGGGTAGCTACTATTTTGCTTTTTTGTGTTTAATGAGTTTGGTTGAGCAACTACAAATTTTTGGATCTTAGTTCAGAACATTGAATTGGTTTTTCCACCTAATTTGGATTGTCAAAATGACTAAAAGCTCTAGTCTTTTTTGGTCCAAAACCAAAAAGATTAGATTATTGAACCTGATAAGATGCTGATTATAGGGGACACAACAGTATTAAAAAGTCATCAAATTTCAGCAACTTCCTGCTTAAGATGAGCTTAATACTAATATTATATGAACACCGTACGTGTGGAAATCGAGGTTAAGGACGATTTAATTAATCTAATAAATTGAATAGAAGTCTCCATTACTTATATTTTTGTGCCTTGGGACACATTAATTTCATATGATTCTTCAGAAAGAAGATAAAAATAAAAATTTGCTTTGTAACTCTCAAACATTGGTTTAATTAAACAATGTATTTGATGTTTCTATTCCAATCTCTGATGCTGTCTCGATCAGTCCCCCGTGTATATAATTAATTCATCTAACTGTGTATTATCTGGTTCCAGCCTTGTGATGTGTTTGTTTTTTATACTATACTACTAAAGGACTTTTTAGTCAAACAACAAGACTGACTACATTATTTTTTTGTTGTCACGTGAGTATCTACAAAGTCTAAAGCTTTGTGGTACATTTCTCAATGTCTCAAACCTAACCTCGTGCCTTCAAATTTGCATAAAAATGATGAAAATTTGTATTTTATGACTTCTAATTTTAGGGTTCTAGGTTCTATCATGTCTCTCCTTGAACCTAACCTAGCTAGAAACCATTTCCAAGATTTGTCTTGTTGCATCACAAAAATTTCCCCTCAAGTATGGACTTTTTTTTATTGGAGGTTGTAAATCATGTTTGGATTAGAACAAATTTATATTAATAGCACCAATAAGTTAGGTCACGTTATTCATGGTGTAAATGTTTGAATTCATTTGTCACAACTAACTTTGCTTAGGAGTTGTAAATTATTTGCCTATGGGATAAATACTTGTCATAAATTACTCCATAATTTAAAATATAGGTAGTCGATAATAAATACAATGTATATGATCATTAATTTACTATGTGATGAGGAAAAATTGTGACAACAATTTATTGACTCCCCTTGTGATTATTATTATGCTTTAATTTATTCCAAGCAAGTTCAGATCGACTATATAAATTCACACGGGTTAATTATTATGTAGGTTACATGGGTAGAACATGCCGAATATGAAGAGGGTGCGAATCACCATCTTTACCGGCAGTTAATTAGCGCGGGTATGGGCTTTGGTGCACAAAGATGGGTTGCCACCCTCCAACGCCAGTGTGAGTGTCTTGCAATTCTCATGTCATCCACCGTTTCCGCAAGGGATCACACAGGTAACTAATTAATATAGATATTTTAAAGTAAAATCTATATTAGTGCAATTGTTCAATGAATCAACCTCTTATCATGTGATGAGTAGTAGTCTCATATATTTTCTGTGACCAAATTTAAATTTTAAGAAATCAAATCACATGCAGCAATAACTCCAAGTGGGAGGCGGAGCATGTTGAAGCTAGCACAACGCATGACAAATAACTTTTGTGCTGGTGTTTGTGCTTCAACGGTACACAAGTGGAACAAACTTTGTGCAGGTAATGTTGATGAAGATGTACGTGTTATGACTCGAAAGAGCGTCGATGACCCCGGTGAACCAGCAGGCATCGTCTTAAGCGCTGCTACTTCCGTTTGGTTGCCCGTTTCCCCACAAAGACTCTTTGATTTCCTCCGTGACGAACGCCTCCGTAGCGAATGGGATATCCTATCCAACGGTGGTCCTATGCAAGAAATGGCTCATATTGCCAAAGGCCAAGATCATGGCAACTGCGTCTCACTCCTTCGTGCTAGTGTAATTTCCTCGACCCTTTTTATCACTTTTTTTAAAAGAAACTAATTTTGAATGGATAGATATAATGCATGGCGATTTATATATATGAATGCATGTAAAAAGATTGATTGATTTTGCATGTGTGGGGTTCATTTTCTTAAAGATTAAAAAAAAAGAAAAGTTGATTGAAAAGGACAAACTAGGGGGATTTGGAAGTATCTCTAAAGGACCATCTTATTGCAGATCTATAAATTTTAACTTTGTTGCATCTTTTGTAAATTTGTAAAAAGTCAAAACACATGATACATGTTACCTTTTTTTTAGTCAGCCCTACTATGATATCACCCTTTTTACATGAAAAAGTGTACAAAATATGACGTGTTATACCAGACAATGGCATTTTTCGTAAATATATTCATAACCGATGGGCTTTATTTCCAGGCTATGAATGCGAATCAGAGCAGCATGTTGATACTTCAGGAGACTTGCATAGACGCGGCTGGGGCGCTTGTTGTATACGCGCCAGTTGATATACCGGCAATGCACGTGGTGATGAACGGTGGAGATTCGGCTTACGTGGCTTTGCTTCCTTCGGGATTCTCGATTGTACCCGACGGCCCAGGATCTCGTGGGTCCAATGGGCCTTCATGTAATGGGGGCCCAGATCAAAGAATTAGCGGGTCGCTCTTGACGGTAGCCTTCCAGATATTGGTGAATAGTCTCCCTACAGCCAAGCTTACTGTGGAATCTGTGGAAACAGTCAATAATCTTATATCATGCACTGTTCAGAAGATTAAAGCTGCTCTTCAATGTGAAAGCTAAATACGAAAATAATTGGCACAAGGAGGACACCTTTTTTTTAATTTTTTTTTTTAAATATGTAGTTTAACTAGTAGAAAAAAAAAAGTGGTGCTAATGAGTCGAGTTGA